CTACCTGGCAGGCGCGGGGGGTAGGGGGCGGCTCTGCCCCTCAGCAGGCCGCTGGGCCTGCTCTGTGGGTGGTCACAGTTCCGTCTACCTTGCCGGCGCAGGGGGAGGGGGCCCTAACCTGTTCTTAATGAATCAAAATCTTCATAAAAAATGCCTCAAATTTATCGCTGTCTTGGCATTAATTCTAGCTGCTGCCTCAGTGGTATCTTTCACCTGGACCAGTACAAAGGTACATGAATTATTCTCTCTGATTTCTCCATATTACTGCAAGGTTTTTCTAAAAATAAGTAAATAAACACATCCAAAGATAAACACATGGCATGTGACAATCCCATGGGATTGTGGTTGGAAACTACTTTTGGGTCCTACTCTACCTCTCTGCCTCCGTCAGTCCTCCTGCTCTAATACCCCTGCTGCTTCTCTTCAACTGCTCTGCTTCACGTGCCTTTTTCCACTCCGGCGGCAGCAGAGGGAGGGCATATTCTGGTCTTTTAGAGAACTTCTGCTTCCAGATACAAGGAAGTCAGACTTGAGAAACACGGGCCTCTTCTCCCACATACCATCAAAAGCAACAGCAACAGCAGGACAGACTGCTGAGTATTACAGGTCCACACCCCAAGTGGATGCTTCATGAGCACTGGGCAGGAATGTGCGGCAGCTCCCTTTACCAGTCCAACTCTGTGCTCTCTCTACCCTGCTATGTGCTATAACCTCACAGCACCAAGTTTGACTCTGGTGCCTGAAAACAGGGACAAAAATGAAAACTAAGAAAAACATGAGACAAAAGGACATAAAGATCATTCACGAAAGAAGGCAAATAGTCAACAACCCGTGGAAAAAACCTTCAACTTGAATTAGAGCAGTAAAACACCACTTTTCCTTTACATTCAAACTGACAAATGTTTTAAGTGATATGAACTAAATGATGGCAGGGACTTCAAGGAAACGGACCCTCTCCTTCACTGCTGTGGACATGTAATCTGGTGCTGCCTTCTGCAGGGCACTTTGGCAATATGCAAAACTTGGAAGGGAATAACCTTTGTCCAGCAATTCCACCCTGAGAACTCTTAAGACACAGTCACTGACACAAATATCTGCTCACCACAGCACCACTCGCCAATAGTGAAAACTGCAAGCCCACAGTGCACAAGCAAGGAACCCATCAAATAAATCATGGTGTATCTGTGACAGAATACCACAGAGACAGTAAAATCCTGTAGTCGATCAGAGATACTATCCTACATCATACCAAGAGAAACAGGCTATAAAAACTATGTACATTCTGTTCAGTTCCATTTATATACAGCACAAAAGCAGGCAAAGCTCTGTCGTTATGTCAGGGTGGTGGTTTCTACTAGGCAGAGATGGAGGAAAGCAGGAAGGGTGCTTCAGTGGTGATTTTTTTTTAAATTTGAGTGCTGATTAGCTGGGGATTTTGAACTTGTGCAAATAAATTAAGCTGCACAGATACATGAAAAGAATGTGTATTATACATCAATGACATTTTAAAGCATATTAAATAATTTCCCCCAAACATGTACCAGAAACCTAGGTGTCCCTCAATATATGAATGGATAAAGAAAATGTGATATATATACTCAGTGGAATATTATTCAGCTTTAAAGAAGAGTAAAATTATGGCATTAATGATTGAAGTTAGAGAATATCATACTAAGTGAAATAACCAATCCTACAAAAGCAAAGGCCAAATGGTTTCTCTAATATGCAGATGCTAATTCACAATAAGGCAGGGGCATTAGGGAAGAATAGTGTTACCTTAGATTGGGTAGGAGGGGAGGGGAGGGGATGTGGGGATAAGAAAGATAGTAGAATGAAACAGACATTATTACTGTATGTATATATGACCAATATGATTCTGTAACATGTACACACAGAAAAATGAGAAATTATATCCCACCTATGTATAATACATCAAAGTGCATAGATGCATTCTACTGTCATGTATAATTAAAACAAATAAAAAATGTTAAAAAATGTATTAGATGTGTTTTTAAAAATGGTCTAGATTTTCCTTTCCTTTTTAAAAATAATTTCATTTTTCTACAAAGAACTTGTTTCACTTTTAGAAGAAACTATTTTAAATCATAAAGTCATTGTGGCATGAAAGCAGATGGATGACCTACTCATTCATTCCCCCCCCCCCCCAGTTTTATTCTCTTGATTCGTTCATTCAAATTACTGAGCACCTCCTGTATTCTCTATGCTTAAAGGTACAGACAGCAGCAAGCAAGTTCTTCACAATGTCAGGAATAATTCATATCCCCAGGGAAGCTCCCCAGGATAGTGACCATTTCTTTTCTTAAACACTGTAATACATTCTGAAAGTCTAGCTACCTGCTAGGCTCTGCACTGACTGCACATCCAAAAATCTAGGGAGTACACATCCAAAAACCTAGGGAGGCTGACCTCAAACTGACTGTTCAAAATAAGCTCAAAAACCAAGAAAAAAAAAATCAAACAAAATTCCACTCTCACATTGCATGTTCTTGGACAATATCAATCACCAAAGATGAAAATCTTGAAAATGAAGAAAACCACAACAAGCTCCTCCCAGACCTACTGAGAAGGAGTCACCATGTACACTATTACAGTGTGCTCTTGCCAGCCTCAGAGGTACCTCCCCAAACAGCCTGCTAACACAGACTTCAGCTACCACCATGCGCACTACCACTCCTCTCTCAAAGCCATGGAGTGCTGTGACTTAGGCCCTGTCCTGGGATTCATTGAGTCTTCAAAACAACCCTGTATCATTATTTTCGAAACAAAGAAACTGAAGTACAGAGACACAATTAGCACACAGCATACAGGGGTAATTTTAGAAGAACTAGGCCTAGGCAAACTTGCAAAGCAAGCAGCAATTGGTTTCTGACCTACTTGCCCTAGGTCCCCACAGATTTCTCAGCACACCAGGCATCCAGCACACCTTGCACTGCAGGTATTCACTCAGTAAATGTGTTCCTTTCCTTTCTTTGGTTTCCTTCTTTCCAAATAGCCTACACAGGGAAGGCCCCCCCAAACCCCTTTTTTCTTTTAAATCACATCATTCTTCTAAATTAACTGTTAAACAATCCTTACTAAGGCATTACCCAAAACCAGTATGCTGGGATCAGGAATACCCTCCTCTGCATGCCTGGCCTGATGGCTATCTCCTTCATCCTGCAGGATCCTCCAGATGCATGGAGCTCACAAGGAGGCCTGCTTCCCCTTAACAGCTGCTTCCCTGCAGGTCTCAGCTGTTGAAGGCAATCCCCACAGTAGAACAGATCCTGGCATGAACACAACTCACTTCACTCAGGTCCCTGCTCAACAGTCTCCTCTTCAGTGGCCTTCGGTGACTCCCTGTTGAAACATATTTGTCACTGTCCCATGAGATTTATAATTATTTTCTTATCCCCTGTCTTCCAATTAATAAATGCATAAGGGCAAGCCCTTTATCTTGATTACTGCTTAATTCTGCACCTAAAACAGGAGCTGGCCCAGAGAAAGCTGCAATGTTTGCTGAGCCAACTGCCAGCCAGAAGGCCTTTCTTAATATTCTGGGGAGGTAAATCTCCCAGAAAATACTGTCTCGACTTGATTGGATCGAAGGTGGACAAAGAGGAAGAAGAGAGAACAGAAGTAAATCTTAATATGCTAAATTGTGGGAAGAATATTTAGCAAAATCCTGGGGTTTTCTGTCTAGGTTTAAAGAGTAGGATCAAAATGCAAAAATTCCCAAATGTTTTAGTTTAAACATGGAGAAGCACAACAGAGAAAGCAGCTGTGGGAAATCTTGGCAATCACAAACCTTGTCCTGTTTTGTTTTGAAAGTGCTTAAGGGAAAAAAGTTAAGAGTCTGTCAGGTTTTAGATTACAATATCCTATTTATTATCTGACCAGATGCCCAATACCCACTCAAAGTCAGAGTTAATTTCTACAACCAGTATTGATCTCCTCACTCATTGCCCTGTCCCTTCCCACAGTTCACCTGTTTACTTAATCTAGCCTGGTCTAACAGGGTGACAGGCACCAGTCACACACCAAGCAAACAGGAAAAGCCTGTCTCCAACTAAGAAACTGATTGCAGGCCCACAAAGATGGAAGCATGAAGGCAAGGTTTTTGTTTGCTTTACTGAACCCCAAAAGACTGTTAAGGTAAAAAATATTCTAAGGGTGCCCTGCAAGTAGATTTTAGTAGGACTCACTGATTGAAAAGGAAATCGATAAAACACCAACCCTACAGATGTTACCAGGCACTTCAAATGTATGGCAATTTCTTATCAACTCGGTCTAGAAAAAAAAACAAACCCCCAACTTGTTAATAGGCTAACAGCACTGTAATACTGTACTTCCATCATATCACTTAAATAATATTTCATCTATTCAGGTCACATAAATAGCCTTTTCAAAAAGCTGGTGGTTTGTCAAATAGGAAAGTAAAATAACTCCAACATAATCTCATATGACAGTGAGCCAGTTTTGAGGATTGCTAAATATTTTGTTAAGGCTCAAGCGATATCTGCCAAACAGCAAATATTCCAGTTTTTAAAACTTTCCGATTAAAAAAAACAAACAAACAGCTGTTTTGAGAAGAGGAGGTAAGAAAACAATCCCAACATAGTTAAAAAACAAAATAGGTATTACCTCATCTTTAAAAATAGCTTGCTTTCCAGCTCTGGGTACAGTCCTCGGCAAGCCCTTAAGGAGGTACGGCAGGGGAAGCTGGAGAGGTGCAGGGGAGCTGGACCCCTCTGCACCTGGGTGCGCTCCCGCGGCGGCCGCGCACGGCCAGGACGGGTGCCCGCACGTGCACCGCGCCAACCGGCCCCACGCTCCGGGGCCCGCGGCACGCGAGCCGCGCCCGTCCCACTCGACCCCGCCGTGGCCCAGAGCGCACAGCACGCCCACCCAGCGCGGGCTTCCGTTAGGCCTGCCGCCCCGGCGCCCGACGGCCACGCTCCGCGCAAGATCCCGGCCCCGGCCCCGGCCCCGCGCCTCACCTGCCGCGCCGGCCCCGGGGGCGCGGGCGGGCGGCGCGGAGCGCAGCCGCAGCCAGAGGTGCAGCGCGGCCCCGAGCACGCACGGGCACAGCAGCACCAGCCAGTTTCGCATTGGCCGCCCAGCCGCTCCCCCTCGCGCCCCGCCGCGCGCAGGGCTCCCCCGCGTCCCGGCCGACAGCGAGGGCCCCGCGCGCGCCCGGCCCAGCGGGCGACTCCGGCCCGCGTCTCGCCAGCCTCCGACCGCGGGCAGCGGCGCACGGCGCCGAGGCCCCGCCCCGCGCAGCCCCGCCCATCGGCGCCGAGGTCCCGCCCATCGGCCCCACAGGCCCCGCCCCGCGCGCGCCGGCCGGGAGCTGGAGTCCCGCGCGGGCCGCAGGCAGGGGGCGCGCCCGGGGCCCCGCGCCCCGGAAACCAACACTTCCAGGGTCCCGCGCGAACGGAGCATGCGCATGCCTTTCGCGCCGAGCCGAAGCCCAGCCGGCGCGCCCGCCCGCCCGCAGTGGCGAGTGTGGGGGCCGGCTCCGCTCGCGATGGCGGGGTCCGCCCTCCAGAACCGCAGGGCGGGAACGTCGGGCCGCGCGGGCCCCCGCGGTGGAGCCCAGGGCGCCGCCCAGGCTGGCACCCGGCGGGCGGGACGGAAGTGCGGGGGCCGGGCGTGTGCGGGCCGCGTATGCTCCGGCGGCCTCCCCCGCGGCTCAGCGGGTCTCAGCGCGGTCAGAGCCCGAGGGTCGCTGCGGGGCCTGTTAGTTTCTGCAGAGCAGCCCTCTCTTGCAGTTACTTTGTATTTGGTTGTTCTTAAACATTGTTGCGCTGTGTGCTTGGTTTAATGGTCGTGTAGAAGCTACGGGTCTAAAGAGTTTATACACTGTCTATACTTAAATAAACTCTTGAGGCCAAAAATAATTTTTTAAAAAGAGATTTGTGTATTTTTTTTAATTATCTGTTACAAATCCAAAATTCTGTATAGCTGTAATCCTTTGCTATCTCAATTTCTGTAGGTCGGGAATTTGGGAGCTAAGTCCTCGTTCAGGATCTTAAAAAGTTGTGGGCAGATGTCAGCTGGCCCTGAAGTCACCTGAAGGACGGGCACTGGTTGGAGAGACCCGTCCTGGGTGACTGACTGGCACCTGCACTGTGAACCCTTGAATGACTGCCGCTCCTGCCTGTTGATTGCACAGAGCAGCCCCCAGGCAATGCGGAGTGAATACCAAGAGGAGAGGATTGTTGGGCCCCTTCTCAGGCTGGCTACCGCAGTATTGGATGCAAATTTGAGCAGAAACAAACTACTGTTTCTGGGCAGTTTCCCTGAAGACAGAAAGGAACACTTTCCTTCCTGTAGGAAACAGATGAAATTCAAAGACTGATCATTGTGACTTGGGAAAATGTCACCAAGATCAGCCTTCCCTCTCCCAGGCATCATGTGCATATTGCAGTAAGGAAGGAGAATGTGTATTGTCTTCACATATCCTGATAGAACTTTCAGGGCTAGGATGTGGCTCAGTAGTAAAGTGCTTGCCTAGCAATTCCAAGGCTCTGAGTTCAGTTTCCAGTATTGCACAAAGAGAATTTTCTGTTTTAGAAGCTATGTTGATATGCTTTCTACATTTCAGTTAGAAGTTGTCAAGAGCATGGGGGGCTAGGGTTGTGGCTCGCTTAGCACGTGTGCGGCCCTGGGTTCGATCCTCACCACCACATAAAAATAAAAAAAGGTATTGTATCCAACTACAACTACAAAATAAAAATATTTTTTTAAAAAAAGAAGTTACCTAGTTGTCACAACTCCCAGCTGAGGCAGGAGGCAGAAAGATAGCAAGTTTGAGATCAGCCTCAGCAAATTAGTGAGGCCCTACACAATTTAGCAAGAGCCTGTCTCAAAATTTAAAAGGGCTGGGGATGTAGCTTGGTGGTAAAATACATCTGAGTTCAATTGCCAGTACAGGGTGTGTGTGTGTGGGGGGGGGGGGAACCCATTGTCAAGAGAGTAATAATTGGTTATCACAAAGGATATATTTTAATCCTTAAGAAAGGTAGTAATGCCTTCTTAATAACCTATCATTTTCATTTTGTGAATAAAGAATTATGAGATAACCCCAAAAGAGAAATTGCCCGTGATTTGTCAGATCCATTCATTTAGTAAATACTCACTGAGCATCTATTATCTATATGCCAGGCACTTTTACAGGTATATTATGTATGTGCAGGGCACTTTATATACATAAGTAAAACCTGCCCTGTGGTAATAGAGAGGCAAGGTGCAGACCTCAGACTTCATATATAGACACATAAATGTTGGAAGGTGATAAGTTCTATGTAAAATATTAAAAGAGCAGGTGTTTTAGCTGTGACAAAATATCTGAGAAAAACAAAGATTTACTTCTGCTGACAGTTTCAGAGGTTTCACTCCATATTCAGCCAGTTCCATTGTCTTGGGTCTAAGGTGAAGTAGAATATCATGGCAGAAGGGTGTGGCAGAGAAAAGCCACTCAGCCCATGGAGGAGGCTGGCAAGCAGTTTCCAAGAGAGAGAAGAAGGGGCTGGGAAAAAGATACAGTCCCAAAGGACATACCTCCAAGGACCCTTCAACTATGTCCCTCTTATGGTTTCACCACCTCCCCTCATTCCATTCAGACAGGAGGCTAGTGCCTTTGGGGGCCACTCCAGATGTAAACCATGACAGCAGGGCAGGAGGATTTGAGTGTGAGCCTGAGATGGGCAGATGCAGCAGTGTGTGTGTGTATGTGTGTGTGTGTGTGTGTACACAAGCATACACGCATACACTGGGGATTGAACCCAGAGGTGTTTTATCACTGAGCCCCCCCCCCTTTTTTTTTATTCGGAGACAAGGTCTCAACTAAGTTGCTGAGGCTGACCTTGCACTTGTGATCCTACCTCAGCCTCCTGAGTTGCTGGGATGACAGTTTGCACCACCATGCCCAGTTAGAATGCAGTATTAAAAATCAGTATTGAAACAACTTTCAAGTGAGTACTAAAGGTAGAAATAAGTAAAACCACTATACAGTACTCACTAATTATGGTGGTATCCCTCCAGTTGGCAACCTAGAGGGGCGGGTCTTCACTGGCTCTCTGAAGCCCTGTAGCTGAAATAGTTTTGAATAACTTGTTACCATCTTTCAAATCCTTGGACCTGTGGGAGCAAGGATTAGGGGTTAGGGAAGGGCAAGCTCAGATAGCTGGTTACCTGCACCACCATCTAATGCCACTAGTGCCCGGAGGAAGGAATGCATGGGTGCTGTGATAGCACAAAGCAGAAGGGGCTGTCCTGGGTAAACACAGGGCTGGGGCCTGCAGGCAAAAGGGTGGGGAAGGACATTCACAGGTACCCTAGGCAGGAGGTGGTGACCTGCTGTGAGGGAATCTCAGCAGTCTGGTATGACCTCAATGCCAGGGAACAGGGTGGAGAAGGGGGACAGACGGCAGCACCAAATCTAAGACTGCGACCAGGAGCTTACAGTCCAGCTTGAGGGCTCCAGGGGAGGGCTTTTGTTTTTGTTTTCCCTGTTACAAAATCAAAATGTGACCATGAGAAGAAATTTGGAAAATGTAGAATAATAAATGAAGAACTAAATAACACCAAATACAAGTCATATGTTTTATTTAGTTTTTCCACTTAAAATATTTTTGTGAATACCATAAATAAGAACTTATATTCATTTATTTTCTCCTACCCTGTAAGTGTAGAAACTATCATTTTTAATGACCTTATCATTTTTGCCATTGTGATTTCTCATTTGGTATACCTATCATTGGATGTAGAGGTTGTTGCCTTAATTCTGCTAGAAAAAGTAATATGGGCACTTCTGCTCATAAAACTACCTGGCATTCCATAGGATCTTCTTTTTAAATACATTTTAGGGGTCTCTGTTCACACTGCCCTATCACCAGTGCAAGTGGCTGCCTTGAACATGAATCTCTTATTCCACTTCCCCTGGCATTAAAAATGTTGCCTTGTGGGGCTGGGATGTGGTTCAGTAGTATAGTGTTTGTCTAGTATATCTGAAGCCCTGGGTTTCATCCCCAGAACTAAAAAGAATTCCTGATTCAAAAGGCAGAACATTTTTTTATGGAATATTTTTATGGTTTTCAATTGTTTCTATTCTTTTGTGAATTATCCATGTATTTGCTTTTTAACCACTTGGATGAGCTTTTTACATATTAACTTTTTATATTTTACTTTTATTGAAAATGTTTTTCTTTTGATTTATGACTTTTAGAACACAAAAACATTTAACATTTTTATAAATTCAAATTATCGATATTTTATTTTTCCATGATTTTGGAAGTTACTGACCAGGGCATCTGATCAAAACACTTTTTTTTTTTTTAGTTGTAGATGGACAGCATGCCTTTATTTTATTTATTTTTTGTATTCGGTGCTAAGGATCAAATGCAGTGCCTCACACACACTAGGCAAGTGCTCTGCCACTGAGCCCCAGCCCATCTGATCCATATTCTTATTTTTTAAACTTTTCAATCCATTTGGAAATTATTTTGGAATATGGTGTGCTGCAAGAATCTTCTAAATAGGTTTTATTTTATATTATTTTTTAGTTAGTTAAATATATATATTTTTCCATACAGCTAACTATTGCCCTGGGCACATTATATCTTTATTTTACTTAAGTATTTTCTTTGATTTTGCTCTACTAGAGATAAAAGCCAGGGGCACTCTGCCACTGAACTACACCTCCAGCCCTTTTTATTTTTTTTAAATTTTGAGACAGGGTCTCCTTAAATTGCCCCAGCAGCTTTCAACCTGTGACCCTCCTGCCTCAGCCTCCTGAGTACCTGGGTTGACAAGCATTGGCCACTGCACCCCACCTCTTGCTTTATGAAGTCACTAACTTAATTAGAGTTCTAAACACAATGACACTTTTTATGAACTCCATCTTTGCATTAGTCTATCCTTCCCTCAGCACTGCAGCGCTCTAGTGATTGTGGCCGTTTAACATTTGTAACCAAGAGGGTGACTCTGTCTCAGTGCTCTTCGTTCTGATGCTATCATCACTGTTGCTCATGATTATTCTGCTTCCCCTAAACCTCATGTGTAGCGTGAAATGAATGCACACTCATCAGAATAGACACATGTAATAA